ATTAAGAACACATAAGATAATTAATTAAATAGGTCAAGTCAGTTGTCAATCTTTATACGGTTACGTTCCAGAATTCATCTTTTTGATGGATCGTCAATCGGTTGTATAGTAGAGCATGGCGTCACGCTGACGTAACCGATGGATTCCGATTGGCAGTCTGATGACGTATCTTCGATTGATCCCAGAAACACTTCGATGAATTTTCCGATGAACAGTTTGTTGTTTGTTTTGTTTATTATTGTCACCCAGCAGTATTACAGATGATAACAGCAAGTTCAGCAAGTGCAAGTGGCCGTCGGTCGAGATTTCTTGAAAAATTTGTCGAAGAATTATTATTAATTTTTTGCCGTGAAATGGACGCTATGCTCCTTCAGTTGTTTGATTCCAGCAGCTCCTCTGAAGAATCTTCTTCCTCCTCCTCAGAATCCGAGGATGAGCCAGAAATCATCCCAAGAGAACCCCATGAAAAAATTCAGGGGTACTGCTCCATCGTTGACGCATACAGCTATTCTGACTTTCGGGCACATTTTCGACTGAGCAGAGCTTCCGTTGAGGTACCTCGCCTGCATTACTTAAGCATTAATTATATCTGACCATTATCACCTGCAGATTTTAGACTTATTGACCAGGGTCAGGTAGTTTTGCCTTGCGGCCCTTGAAGCTCATTTGTACCGTTACTGCCTTCCCTGCTGTGGCTCCAGTTCAACAAATAGGTCCAAGAAAAGAAGGAGGAAGCAGGGGCCATGGCCTCCTACTTGTGGCTATCTGCATGCTGCATTTGTCCGCAGGGCTGGATGGCAATTGGAAGTATTTTTTAAACAAGTTCATCTACATTGAATGTTGTCATGGATGAAAATATACCAACATATGTACTATACGTATATAGTATACGTAGTATATATTTATCCATGATGTTGTGATGAAATACTAACAAGCAACAGCCAAGGACTGATGGCAAGTGCTAGTCACCAATTCCTGCAAAATTGGAGGATGCAGGAAGTGCAAATTTCAGAGGTGAATAGAGCATTTGCGAAAACCATCCAAGATTACTGTAGGAACTCTACCAGTTAGGGTGCTTTGGCAGACGGACTTCTTTAAAGCAGCATTATTCTCAGTTATAGCAGTACAACCCCAAACAAGTCTTTCTACTTGAAAAGTTTGGGAATTATCCTATCCTCTGCCCCAAGTTGAGCCACTTCCTTTTACCATCTCGTCCATGTGTAATGAGGGCCAGTTAGCGCAAGATTGTGCCAAAACCAGCCATCAAACTGCAACTCCAAAATCCAATCCATCCCTTGAACTGGTGGGTACATTCTCAAATCTTCAAATACAAAAAATTTACCCAGTACCAGTCACATCAACTTCTAATTAACTCACTTTAAAGGCATTGTTTGCCCTCGCACTGCTCTTATGATGTTGGTGTGGCAAACCACTCGCTTTACCTTTAAATAATTTGTTTGTGTCTGTAGGTCCTCATTTCTTTTTACCTACTCTTGTATTCTCTCTTTTGACAGATGTTATTGCGTGTGTTGGAGAATCAATACATTGGAGTCCGCCGTCATCCACCATTTCCCTTCAAACATGCCATTCTAATGTCGCTGTGGACGCTGGCAAATCAGGAGAGTTTCCGTGGTGTCGCTGACCGTTTTGGCGTTAGCCGTGGGCATTGTCACAGAGTTTTTTTATGTGTGTGTCAGCTGTTATGCAACAATGTACAAAGGTGGATCCGTTGGCCAGCAGCAGGATTGGAACAAGAAAGGTGTCTACAAGGATTTTCAAATCTGAGAGCAGTAACTGTCCCTGGAACTTTTGCAGTGATAGATGGGACTCACATTCCAATTCCTGGACCCTTGCATGATGAGTCATTTTACAACCGTAAAGGTTTCCACTCAGTTTTAGCACAAATAGTGTGCACCCATGATTTTGAAATCATAGACCTTTTCTGTGGGTTCCCTGGGTCTTGCCATGACGCACGCATGTGGGCTGAAAGTCCTTTGTGTCAAAGGCTGCAAGAACATCCTGGTCAGTTACTTCCTGATGATGCTCATATATTAGCTGACTCAGCTTACCCCATAACTACTCGCACATTGACGCCGTTTAAAAATGATGGGCACTTGACCCCAGAACAGAAGTACTTCAATACTGTAGGAAGCTCCTCACGAGTTGTTGTGGAACAGACGATAGGTAAAGTAAAATGTCGCTTCAGAAGATTAAGATATCTGCACATTAATAATTTATCCTATGCTAAGTACATCATAACAGCTTCTTGTATCCTTCACAACATACGAATTAAGGAACCAGAAGGTGATGAAGATGATATTGATTACGACAGTGATGATCATGATGATCATGATGACCCTGACTTTGATGAATATCTGGCCGAAGATGGGCCTGACAACCATGGAGATGGAAGGGTCCCCTATAATAGGGTTGCAGAAAGAGTGGCAGGACAAAACAGAAGAATACAATTGATGACAGATATGTATAGGAACCGACCTCGCGATGTTGCTGCATGAATTTTTGTTTTAGAATGACCTGACTTGAAGAACTTAATGTAGTATTGAAGTACTGGTAATTTTGGTTGATGCCAACGTTTGGAAGCAGCTGTCGACCATAGTTGTTGGTGGCATTTTGAGTACTTTAAAAAATCTTCCAGGATGGGTGCAAGGTCACGTCGAATTTATGAGTGATTGCTGTTTGATCATCCTGCCTCTTTCAATCTATAGCAAGTTTACATGTTATAGATTACTAGCGCATCTTTTGTTATTGCTTCTTCTTTGAAACTTAGCCTTTGTTTTGTAAGCAATTTTTCTTTCTTTGTATTTTTCACGTTCAAATATAAAATTGGCTCAGCTCACAATTTACATTTTTTCCTATTTGATTGATTCA